CCAATCTAATCAACAGCAGGAATGAATGACCAAATATCTAAATGGATGGAACTGCTTAAATAAGTTTTTAATTTCTATAAGATATGTTTTGCCCTTTATGATTTTTTTCTTCTTTATCCATATAGCTTTTTGTTTTATTTTGGCCCTTACTGTTACATTTGTCCGTAAAACCTACCAAAAAAATCACAAAAGATAAAATAAATAAATAAAAAGATAGAAAATTATAGGAATCGAAAATTGAAAGGGTCAAGATGGAGAAAATTAAAAATAAGAGAAATAAAACAAAAATAATAACCTTATTTTAGTATACTCTAGGTACTATGTGTTTCTAGATTTTATTTAAAATATTTTAAAATAAAATAAAAATTGAGACTAAATAACAAAGGTGTTTAATAATTTGAGAGTGATTTAGATATATTTTCTTTATATATAGATATAGATAAATTATGTATCTTTTTAAATCAAATTTATAATAAAAAAAATAGTCCAATGCTGCAAATGCACTAACCGGAAAAGTGAATGAATTTGTGACCAACAAAATTAAAATTAATTAAGTACATCTATACCTAATATATAAAAAAGATATTCCTTTTGGTAAACTATCTTTATCTCCACATTTTATTCACTGTTATACCTTTTATTTAAAAAAAAAATATTTTTTTACCAAATTCAAAACTTCAAAATTAATAAATTAATTATAACATCAATTAAACTAACATATTTTTTATTACTTATTTTTAAATTTTATTTTATTTTAGAGACACACACTATCTCAATCCCACTAATTTATTATAAAAGGACATACATTAACTTAATCACCTTAAATCGAAACAAATTCACTTTTATATATATATTAAAGTGGAAATATATGATAAATGAATTTGTGACCAACAAAAGTAAAATTAATTAAACACATTTATTATAAAAAGATATACATTAACTTAATCACCTTCGGATAGAAGCAGATTCACTCCTCTATATATATTAAATATAAATAACCGTGTGAGTGTTTACAGAGACTTTAAAAAAAAAAAAAAAAAGTTTTAAACCTTTTTTCAATGAATAAGATTTTGAATTATTTTTTACTTTTTATCCATTTTAATTTATATTTATTATATATTTTTTAAAAAAGAAATTATAGATAAGTAGAATAGTTTAAGGGCGTAAAAATGAATTTGATAAATAAAAAATATATGAGGGATGAGGGATGATGGAAGGGGTGGTATGAAGAAGTATGAAAGTGAAAGGGGAGGGCGAAGAAGGGGTTGGAACTAGTTTGGTCTAAGTTGGTCGCAGTGGCAGGTAAAGATGAGCGAGGAAGATGAAAGAAAGAAGCAAATAGCGGAGCTGAGCAAAAGCCTGAAAGAGGGAGAGAGGATCCTGGGCCCAACCAGACGCCCCGACGGAACCCTCCGCAAGCCCATTCGCATCCGCGCTGGCTACGTCCCTCAGGACGAAGTCGCCAAATACCAGCCCAAACCCGCACTCGTCTCTCCCTTTCCCTTTCCTTCCTTCTTTTCTCAAAGCTTTCTCTTTCTCACTCCTCACTCCTCACTCCTCACTCCTTTTCCTCTCTGCAGTTGAAAAAGGAGACCGCCTCTTCTGGGCCTCCCGGCTGCGACCCACACGCCCATGCTGCCAGGCCCAAGACCAAGTCCGTCAAGCGGAACGAGCGCAAGAAGGAGAAGCGTCTTCAAGTCATTAATCCTTCTGCTCTTCCTCTTCCTCTTCCTCTTCCCCTTCCCCTTCCTGCTTAATTTAATTCCTCTATTTTTATTACTATTCTTCAGGCTTCTCTCGAAAAGGAAAAGAATCTCGAAGGTGGCGTCAGCGTCAGCGTCAGCGATGATACTGGAAACACATTGATCGACCTCACCCACCGTGTAAATCACCTTGCTCTCCAAGATTCCTCTCCCTCCGCGCTCGATTTAGATAAGAGAATTCGTGCCCTCAGAAAGAAGGTCACTGCAAAATCTATGCTTTAACTCTTCTTCAATAACATTCCACACAACATCTTATATCTTCTTTTTCTACACTCATTATCATACCCATTACTTATGCCATTTCCCAATTCATATTTCATCTCATTTCCCTTTCTCGCTAACCTATAACATTTTTTAACTACCTTCCTTCTCATTTGCTCAAACTCTCCTAAAACCCTGCCCTTTTGCTTCCTGCCTGACTTAGCTGTTTAGTACATGTTTCCAAAAAAAATTTCACAAACACTTTTAAGAATAAATAAATGAAACAAACTTCTCCATTAGCTAAAACATTTATACATTAGCCAAAGTCATATTCTTGAAAAGTTAATGTGGAGATCTTCTACAAATTAGCTTATGCATGGATTAATTTTAGTTTTTAGAGAAACTTATTTCATCTGCCCTTCATATTTTCTTTTCTTAAAAGTGTTTTGTAAAAGTTTATCCAAACAGATCTTAGTTTGTGTTATGTATGACTTATCCTGTCGGTATGTCCCTCAATTATTTATAGTGATGAAAATAAAGGTCCTAACTCCTGAGCTCCTTAACATGTTTTCAGTTGCAACATGCAGTAGTAGAATCAATGAATCTGAAAGTAGTGTGGGGAGTGGATATTTTAATAAAAACAAGTCTTTAAACGTATCATTGACGTGGTGCAGCAAAGGGATTGTGATAGTGGGAATAGAATCCTCTAGAGTTCTGTATAAGTACGGGGCCGGGCAGTTTATTGTTTCAAATTTATAAATTTGTATTTTGTCTTTAATATTGAATGTATACAAAAATATGGATGAAGAGAATGGCGCTGTGGAATTTTAAACTGTTATATATTGTGGTGTCTCCATGTCCTATATTTTCAATGTTAACCGTGTCCATGGTGTATCTACTAGCTAGTGCCCATGTTACTATGTCAGAGTTTATGCTTCATAGGTTATGGCACTCCTGTCCATCTAGTATTTTTTTTTTTTTTTTTATGTATGAGAAGTGTTTGAGTTAATTTCATGGGTATGAGTTTGCATGGATTGTCCATATTTTCAAGGGTTTCTCGTTACCTTGTATTGGCTATGGAGTAGGATTTGTTGTGTTCCCTACTCACTCCTGTCTCAAGGGATTTATAACTGATGTGCCACCAGATGGGAGAGCTTTCTTGCTCTCTCTCTTTGGATTAAGAAGAGCTTTGTTGCATCTTGTAGCCTCTGTGGCTTTCTGTTTTCATTTTCCTTCTTCATAGGATCTCTTATCTCTATTTTTCTTTCAATATTCTTATATCTGTTTGAAAAAATGAAATAAAAAAGATATTCAAGTAATGCTGTTCCAGGAACTTTTAAATCTTTATGCTACTCAGAAATCAAGATCCTGTAGCACTTAGAAAATACTAACTGTTTGATTTAAAAGAGAGGAGGGAAAGGGAAGCCAATAGTGGAGAAACGGGATTTTTGCCCACTCATGTTATCTCCTCTCCCCTCTAAACTTCTGAATCAAACAGTTTCTTTTGTTTTATCAAAATCCCATCCCCTCTTTCATTTCTCTCTAATCAAGCACAATGTTAGTGATTCGAAGGTTTCACTAGTCCCATTTCTAAGTAGATTCGCTTGTTTTGATCATAAGGGTCGATCCTGGTTATCATCTCACCTGTTGTAAGTTGCAGTAAGATACCAAGATGAATCTTGATCCATACATATTCAATTTTGTAGTTGATGGTGACTCGGAAGAAAATATTGCTAAAGGAAGACTGCTGGAAAAGTGAATGTTGTTCCTAATGAATTCTTTGGAATCTGTTTGTTACTTTGTTCTTTTGGAGCATTGGATAGGTTCCCATTGGTTGGTACTTCTACAGAATCAAGTAGGTTAATGACTTTATGTGGCTAATATTTAGCTCTAGTCTAGTTGAAGAATTCTCAGAACATGCATTCACTTCAATGCAATCCTTCTGGGAAGCACTTGGGACTTTGGTTGACTTATTACTTTAAATGAATGTCTATACGGGTCTTTATTGATGATAAATAGTCAGAAACTCAACTAATTATGTCAACATTACAAAGGAGATTGTGTGAGAGCAAACACATGAAGGACAAAATGTTATTAGAAAAATATTCCCTTTAAGCAACTTAATTTAATGGTTAAATTTAAAATTGTTTTGGCCATCGTCTAGAGAATTGGAATGGATGACATAGTGGATGTGTTTCTTTTATTCTTCGTCTTGCTAAAGAACTATCTCAAATAGTGCTTCACATTTTCCTATCCTAATCTTTTGACTGTTAAATTCAGATTCGACTTACAGAAGCATTGGAGCAGAAAAGTGCAGAGCAAGATCTGAAGCCAGAGCAGTTGGAAAAGATAGCAAAACTAGAAGATTGGCGTAGAGAGTTAAAGCAATTGGAGGATGAGAAGGCTGAAACAACCGTATCATGATTAAAGTATTCGATTATAGTGTGACAAAATGTGTAGTTTCATCCATATTTTCTTGAAGATATATGGGCACTTTCATGGAAACAGTTTTATCAATGATTTTTCCTTTAATTTGTCTTTTGCATGGATCTTGCGGATACAGTTAGGCCTTATTTGGAGAATGTTTTCAACAACTTTTGAGAAAATTTAGAAGTAAAATTATTTAAACTTCCTTCATGCATTATAGTCAACTTATACATCTTAACATTTTTTTTATAAAAATTTTCTCATCTATTTTTCTTTAAAAGTTGAAATGTATATCTTGAATTTATTATTATTATTTCTATATTTTTTACATAAAAGTTTGCCTAAACTTCCATTTGTTTTCACAAACAATTGCACTCTGTATTTAATGTTTAGTTGAGAAATTGCACTAGCTCCGATTCATTGCCGTTAAATATTTATTGGGAAGCTAGCAGAAATTTAAACAAGCAAAAAAAAAAAAAAATGTCGCGAGTGCTGTTTATGTGATCTACTGGAGCCCAGCTAATCTTTGAGGTAAAGCTTGGCCTCATAGTTGGGCTCAGGTTAGCACCCAAACTTGTTCGTTTCTACTTTCTTTCCTCGTTGCTATCATTTTGTGATTGGAATTTTTTAAGGGGTCTTTTTTACAAATCTGAAACCCTGAAAAATAACTTATATGGTATTTATCTAATATAATTTTAAATTAATAATATTTTTAAACTTTATATGTCAAAGTTTTAATAAACATAAATAAGATAATAAGTTGAATACAGAGAGAGAGAGAGAGGTTAGTGACTTTTTCTTTTGATGTGCTGAATGTAGCTAATCAAGTTTTTTCTGAGATATAAATAAGAACTTTCGACCGAGTGGAATCTCATTAAAGAACTCATCGAAGTTTAAGTTGGGATGTGGTGATCATGTCATGTTACCTTGCCATAAAAAATCCTTACAAAAAGATTAGAGGATGAGGTCTTTATGAAATAGAAATATTGCAGCTATGGAATAGGAGTCTCTAGATAACCATCCTTAGAGACCACTCATGTGAGAATGAACATGTAATGAATGTTGAGGTGTAAAATTTATAACATGACCGTTACTTTCCTAATTGAACTCTCGTGGGATTCATGTGAGTTTTGAGCTTCACATGTAAAATTGTTATGTGTATAATATTTATGGCATTGTGATTATGTTTATGGTTGGTGATGCTGTCACTGAATTACAAGGTTCAACCCTTTAATTTTATTTTTTAAAAGTATACTCTTATCCTCTTATAATATTTAATATGTAATTTTGATCTTTCAATTGTCAATTCTGTCATTTTTAGCCTCCTAATTTTATAAAATTCTTAATTTTAGTTCAATTATTAAATGTTTATCCATTAACCGTTAAAATTGTAAAATTGATCATAATCTTATATTAAATAGTTAATGTGATAATTAATATTTAAGTTTAATTGTATTTTAAACCCCTAATTTTACCCATAAAGTGATAAAAAGAAATAAAAATGAGATGAAGAAAATGTAATTTAGTTTATTCTATTTCATAATACAAAACCTATTTTAATTAATGCATTATTGATACTTAATTCTTTCGTTTTAATTTTTCTTTTTATATGAAAGTAGGATAATCAATTGAGTGTAGTAGAGAAATATCTCTACTTTTGACCCATTAGGAATGCATACTTTATAGAAATTTAACAGAACATGTCATAACCAAATATTATGCGAGATAGTTTAAGCAAATTCATGGACTAATATATTATCTAATAAAAAGAGTGACAAGTTAGCTTAGTTGATCCTAAGGATTCAACTCACCTATGCACATATGTATATTAAAGTGAAGTAGGTTCAAAGACAACGAAAAAATGCATATGCAAAGTGAGTTGTCTCTTAACTACACGTTGTTCTCTTAATTGGTTTCTTTGTGCTTTAATTTTGAAGTCCACACCATGTTTGGTGGAAAGCTTTGCAAGTAGATATTAAAAATTCAAAGTCCACCTAATTTGACAAGGAATGCACAAGGTAGCGTTTCTTCTAATATTTTCTCGTTATAATTGACTATTTACCCAAGTTCATGACTTGTATTGAAGATCAGAATCGTTCATGCTTCTTTCAATTAATAGATATAGGAATAAATGGATGTAACAAATTTATAACATTTTATTTATTTATTTTTTAGTTTTTAGATAAGTTCAGCACACTTAAATCAACGTACTAATTTTTAGTCAATACTTGACCCGCTTAAGTTCATTTATTAGTGTGTTTTTTTTTTGTCATTATGTTGAGTCACATTTAACTTCAATTCAACGTGGGAGAAGGATTAAAGTTAAATGTGTGTTGTATTGAGAAGTGAAAAAACACCAAAAACAAACACAATATTAATTACTAATAAAAAAAACACAATGTTGATTTTAAAGAAAACCCAGGACGTTTAAAAGTAGTTAACAATTTTATAGTTGAGTTAGGTTTTCACCAATTGAACTCTAAAAGGAATTTTAAGATTAGAATTGAATTTTTGTATCACTTTGTCAACAATTTGGTCGATACCTGTTCAATCAAACCTAGTCCATTTTATCAATTGAATTGAACCAAAATTTAGGTAAGTTGAAAGATAAGTTTTGGGCAGAAAAATATATTTACAATAAATATTTTTTAAAATAAAAATAAAATAATGTATTAGCATAAATTTAATATTCTAATTTATATATGTGTGTGTTTAGACCACAAATATTTTTTTTATTATAAGTAATTTTGTTTGAACTTTATATGATTATTATGTATAACAAATTTTTTTTTAGGCATTTAACATGATTATAGAAAGTGAATTATGAACTTAATTAATCTTATAAAATCGACTTATGAGATAAGGTTATTTTTCACTTATATACAGTATTATAGTCTTATTTCTATATGATGTGAAACCTCTAACAATTATGCATATAGAATTGAATTTAAAGTTAAGTCAAAACTATTTTGCATTAGTTGATGCACGTTCTCAATAGTCATATATTTATCTTAATTTGAGGAAAGTTATCTCTTTTTCCTTTTATTAACTTTGTACCCTTATAAGCTCAAGGTCAACCAATCACAATACAATGTTCTTAGTCGATTGATCACGATACTATCTTCCTTGTCGATCAATTAGGATATGTTGTTCTAGGCCGATCGACCAAGTATCTGATAAACGACAACATGATTTTGTAAACTATACTTGATTTATGATTTAATTAGTCTTTTTGTCTCGTAGACTATAGACTATAGACTAAAGGGTTGTGTATTCTTATACGCCTAGGACCAACCTAACTTATCAAGTTACTTAATTGTTGGCTAATCTTGTCATAGGAGGGTAATTAATCGATGTATTTCGTCAATTACAATAACTCAAGTAAAGTTTCGAATAAGGAAAATTGTACCCTTTTAGGTCCATGATTGACCTACCTCCTAAGCCATTGTCCTAGACTTGTGGTCAACCTACCTCTTAGGCATATGGTCAACCTCCCTCCTATGTATGCCCATGGCCAATTGATTTGAGGTTGATTATCTAAATAATAATTGTACTCTCATAGGTCTATGATCGATTGATCATATTTTATAACACATACATCAATCAATCTACTCATAAGGAGTTATTGATCGAGTTCTTGTGCCAGTTAAAATGATACAATTAAAACAATGGATAAAGGATATAAAATCACTATTTTTATAAGATAAGTATATTTAAGATATGTGAAACTTAGAAATTGTGTAACAAAAAAAACGTTGAGATTGGGATCACGAGGCAAGCTGAAAAATTAGGGCCATGAAGCCCTACTACTAGATTAAAAGGAGGAGTCTCCTCAAAGGAAGACAGGTATTCATTATAAAAACAAAACACACTTGAAAAAAAGAGAAAGAAGAAAACTATTAAGTATTTCAATAATGAGATCATCTTTGTGATTGGATCACCTTTCTTTTCAACATCTTAGTTTAAAATTTACTTTAACATTCTTGTTATGTGCTCATAAAAATATATTTATCCTCTCATAAAATATTTATGAAGAATGATAAAAAAATATTTGGACATTGAGATGAGTGGTCTGAATTTAATAAAAAAATAATCAAAATTATTTATGTACAATTATTTTATTTTTCTTAATTTATGAAATTTTCTTTATTGGAAAGAAAAAAAACGGATTATCATATATTTTATTTTATTTAGTTAAATAAATAAATAATTAAAATTAAATATTTTCATTCCTTCCTCACTATTATTTCAATTCAAATTTTATATATTTGTTCTCATTCTTGCGTTCCTTCTATCCAAACGGCTCACAAATGTCATTTGCTTCCTAGTTCTTAGGATTGAGAATGAGGCACCAAACTTGTCGAGTAATATCAAATTTTGTTGGACCTTTTTGACGTAAAGGGTACTTGATTAGAAGATGATTAATAAATGTAAACTTCGTATTTAAGCTAAAGGGAGAGAAAAAGGAAGTTAGTAACCGACAACAGAAAAAACGTAGGAGGGTGAAGAGATCCATCACAGATTGGACAGTGGGGGACCATACCCACAAAAATTCTCATCCTAGTTTTTGGAGTAATTAATGAACTAACAGTTATATTATAATCATAACAAGCTCTTTATCTGTTCTCTTCTGCATTAATTTTGTTCAATAAAAAAGCTCTGTAAATTAATAGGGCCATGTGCATTTTTGGCACAAAGGTACGAGGGTGTGATAATTTTAGTTCTCAAGAAAAAAGTAAAGATTGAGAAAATTTTATGTGTTTTGCACGTGGTTTGCTTAGTTGGAGAAAAATAGTACTCCTATAATTGTTTCTCTGTCAATTTATTTCACTTTAGTAGTAATATATAATACTTATAAAGTCACATTTCTCATTTCATTAATCTTTCCTTTTGTAGAATCTCATTAATTTTAAATGTTTGCGAGAATGGAGCAGAGTAATTTTAAATTACTTTGCCAATAATTTGTCTGCAATAATTTAAATTGTGTCGGGAGTATTTTGCCTTACATAGGATCATATGTCATTCAAAAATAAATAATGGGGATTTAATTATATGGACAGTAAGGAGATAAATCTTCACATCATAACAACTCACTATTAGTGATTAAATTTTTTATTAAGAAAGAGGCTTCTGTTTAATAGTATTTGATTATATCCTGATCAATTTAAGATTGCCTCGAATAAATTATATATATAATTAAA